ACAATGTCTAGGAACACTATGTTTTGTGTTCTTATTTTTAATACCATTAAAATGTTCCAGTAATCTTACATGTAGTTTCCTAATCGTGGATTTGACAATAGCCTTTGCAGAGGTCAATGGTAGTCAGATAGTTTCCCCTGGCGATGCGATCGAGTAGTTCGTCTAACCTGGGCATAGGATATGCATCTGTCACAGTCTTATCATTGAGCTTCCGATAATCCACACAAAATCGGGTAGTCCCATCTTTCTTGGGTACTAGGACTACTGGTGAAGCCCATGGACTATCGGACGGCTCAATAACCCTTAGCTGAAGTTTCTGGGAGAAAGTGGGACTTTTGGCTCGAAGCAGTTGGTTAAGCTGCTCCCTCTCAGTGATACTAAGTCGATCCCCTACCTTGACCTGGGTTATTATATCTGAGTGGGACCCTCGTTCTAGCAGGTCAGGGATTGGTAGGCTGTCGGGATCTTCCTGGAGTGGGCAGCAGATGGCTGTCACGTTTTCCGGTCGCTCAAAGTACTCCTTGAGCATGTTCACGTGAAACGTTTTCCTAAGGTTGCTATGGTGGCAACTAGCGATAACATAGGTGGTGTCTCCCTTTTTCTCTACCACCTGGTACGGTTCCTGCCAGGAGGCTTGGAGTTTATCGGTCTTAACCGGTTTGAGTACCAGCACTTTTTGTCCCAGGACAAAAGTCCTTTTCCGTGCTCCCCAATCGTACCATACTTTTTGTCTCCTCTGGGCCGACTGGAGGTTAGCTTGTACAGATTTGGCTAATTGCTCCATTCGGTCCTGGAGTTCCAATACATAGGGCACGATTGGGACTCCACCTGTCTCAGTCTCTCCCTCCCAGTGCTCTTGGATCAGGTTTAGGGGTCCCCATACCTTGCGACCATAGAGCAGCTCGAATGGAGAGAATCCTGTCGTTTCCTGGGGTACCTCCCGATAAGCAAACAGGAGGTGGGGTAGGAAGCATTCCCAGTCTCTATAATCTTGGGTGAACATTTTGAGCATTTGTTTGAACCTTTCGCAAAGTCCGTTCGTCTGAGGGTGGTAGGGGGAGCTTAGAAGCGACTTAATCTTACAGGCCTGCCAGAGTTGCTGCGTTACCTCAGCTGTAAATTGTGTACCTCGATCGGACAGGATTTCTTTGGGAAATCCTACTCATGAGAACACCTGTACTAGGGCATTGGCTACCGTATCGGCTTGAATGTTAGATAGGGCCACGGCTTCTGGGTACCTGGTAGCGTAGTCCACTACGGTAAGAATGTAGCGCTTACCGGAGGGACTAGGTGTAGCCAGTGGCCCCACCAAGTCTATGGCCACCCTGCTAAATGGCTCCTCTACAATGGGCATATTCACCAGGTGTGCCTTAGGATGGTCGCCTCTCCTCCCTACTCGCTGACACACAGCGCATGTGTTGCAATAGGTCCTAACATCAGCGTATACCCCTGGCCAGAAAAAGGTGGGAGTAATGCGGTGTAGGGTACGGGTCACGGCCAAGTGGCCGGCTAAGGGTATGTCATGTCCTATTTTTAATATTTCTTGTCGGTATTTGTGTGGTACTACCAGCTGTCGTCTGTGTTGTCCCCATTTCTCAGTCAGCCGATACAGTTTTCCCTTCTCCCATAAAAATGTTTCATTATCTAGTCCACCCCCTCCCGTCTCGGCCCTCTCTCGGTATTTTTGCAAGGTCGGGTCGGACTTAGACTCAGTCTCAGATGTGGTGGGAGTGTCCCAGGGTATGGGACCTAAGGGATCAGTCCCGGTCGGGGTGAGTCTTACCTGTGTCTCCCGCACTGGTGAGGGTTCCCGCTGCATTTGTGCTTGTGCCCGAGTAGTCACAGGATTCGCCTCGTTGTTATAGACTGGAGCATAGGCAGAAGTCATAGGACCCAAATCGTAACCCAGTAGCACTTCAGCGGGCAAATTGTCCCTTTTCCCGCTCCCCAATCAAGATGTACTTTGGCGGTAGGAATTTTGTATACATCCCCCCCCCCGCCACTCTAACTACCACGGTCTGTCCTGATCTCTTGTGTTCCGGAACCAAATGGCTCTGGACTAGTGTAATCGTAGCGCCGGTGTCCCTTAGTCCCTCGGTAGAGTGACCCTCGAGCCATACTTTTTGCCGATGATGCTGGGGATTATCCGAAGTGGCATATACGGGGTCGGCTTCATGTAGTGGTCCCAGGTATTCCTCCATAGGGCTCTCTTGGTTAATGCAGAGGGCCCGGGCAGGGCGAGATGGCCCGGCATAGGAGTTGTAATTCCTAGAGGTCTGATGGGAGTTTAAAGGACAGCTTGTCATGTTTGCATCGAAAGCACGTTGGTCGGGGCCGGTCCGTGTGGTTGTTACTGGGTGGTCCTGAGTACCGTACGGCCCCTGCGGGTACTGGAGCTCTGAATTCGGTGCGTGACAGCAGTTGGTAACTGTTCGTTCCGTGCCGTTGTTCGGTAATTTGTGGATTCGTGCAACCGGGACTCATAATGCTCATCGGCCATCTTGGCCGCTTCTTCTAAGGTAGCGGCTCGTCTGTCTCGCAGCCATTCCTTTCCCTGTTGCTCAATGCCATTATAAAAATGCTCCAGCAGAAATAATTTTAATATTTCCTCAGTGGTCACGGCCTTACTCCCGTTCATCCAGTGGTTCGCTGCTCTCCGCATTCTGTGCGCCCATTCCATGTGAGAGTCATTAGGTTTCTTTTTAGTGTTTCGAAATTGTCGTCAATACGTGTCCGGTGTTACCACGTACCGTCGTAGGAGTGTGTCTTTAACTACAGTGTACCGAGTCACTTCCTCGGCACTCAAGGTCCGGAATGCCTCTAGTGCTCACCCAGATAGTTCTCCAGACAATATCGTGGGACATTCTTTGTCAGGAATCTGATGAAGGGCACATTGTCGTTCAAAGTCTGCCAAATATTCATCAATCCCTGTCTCGTTCTCCAGAAAGGGTCTAAAAGCCGCATAGGGTTTCTTTGGCCTCCCAGTGTTCTCTGCAGGACTTATGGTTAGGGCTCCATCGGCGTTGCGGTGTGCGGTCACCAGACTGAGCTTGTGGGCTCTAGTTTTCTGTATGTACTCATCTGCCTCTGCCATCAGCTGCTGTACTAGTTCCATGGAGGGGTTCGGCACATATAGTGAGAGCCTCTCCCGAACAATCCTGGATTTTTTCATCGCCCGTCGTTGTTGGGGCTTCTGCCATGGTGAAACTCTGAACCAGTTCGGTCAGCTCTGCGATCAGCTCCCTCCTCGGCCGGTTACTCACGTTCCCAACCTCGGCTTTCGAGTAAATCCTTTAAGGTAGTGCGTTTTAATTTGTCATAGGTGCTCTCCATCCGTTCGGTATCTCTCCTAGGAAGTCCAGACCGATCCCGCCGCTGCCACCAAATGTTACGGTTACCTGCAGGCTAGCTGGAAGCTGGATTGCTTGGATGATCTGGATCCCAAGGTCAGAGAAAGGGGAGAGTTCCGTCGGGAGTTATTCCATACGAATCCTGTAAATGTAGAACAATCCCACTAGCTATAGTACAGCTAAGATACTCTTTTCCCCACAAAACGAGTCGAAACTGCGATTTGAAGGTCAAACAAGAACTTGGTTTAATGGCACACAGGTATCAGTATTTATGCAAAATCTCAGGTCCAGGAACAGCCCCCTCTGGACCTGATGGGATACAGGGACAATCGTCACCGCCCAGCTTGGAGATAATGATAAATGAAACGGTTATTACAATACAATTATCTCCAAGCGCCCAAAACCCCACGTGTTTTTGCCACATAGAAAACAGAATAAAAATACATAACTCAAACAGTTTTATACATAATTTGTGTCTTCCACCATTCATTACATAGCCCCGGTTGAGGCGAAACAATTAACCGAAGAGTGCTCAGAACCCGCGAATGGTATGCGGTATTTCCTCGAACAAAAGTCTGTTCGTGTCTTTGGGTTCTGAGCGTGTGTTGGCGGCCATGTTTTGAGGTAGGCTAATAGGCCGCGGGACTTCACCCTCAAACTTGTGGAACAGGAACCGGCTAACAGTCTGTGCGAATCCCCGCTCCGTCGTTGGAAGTCTCCGGTGTTCGGGAGACGAATGAAGACCGCCGGGATTCCGCAAAAAACAACATTCTAATTGGAGCCACACGCCAGGCTGTAGGTGGCCCTTTGTTCGGTACCCGTTCGGTAGTTAGAGTATCGGGTGATGGGGCACGAACGTGGACTCCCGGCTGTTGTCAATTAGGTTGCGGATAACCACAGACTGCAACTCTCCGGGCGGTTAAGTGGAGACACACTCCGCTCGTCGGGTGGTCGGCCGTTCGGCTGTTCCCAAGGTGACCGGGGTTAAGTGGCGGCACACACCAAGATCCTGGTGGTCTGCCGTTCATATCAGTTCGGGGGCTAGGTATCAAATCCCCATATTGTAATCCAATTCTGGGTGAAATGTAGCAATAAGTAACATTCGCTTCTGAGTTGTAACGATCCAATAACAGTAACCAATAGTTTGTAACATGGGTCTTTGACACTTAACTGGGGATTAGATGTTATCACTAGTTCTGTATAGAAAGCTACATTAATTAAAGCCTTGGTGTATAATTATTTAACTAAGTTTTGGATCTTTATCCTAATTTACCTGTTATGGTGGCTTCCTTCACTGCTTGCCTCAATTCTACTCAAGTGTATAGCACTACTGTTTTATCTTAAGTCTGTTGTTCTGCTCTCGAGGAGGTCCCAGGCAGGACCACACACATACTTCTCACATAATTCATTATATATTTAGGTTCATTATTAGGACTTCTGCTTTCACTTGTATCCGTTTCTTCTTCCATATGGGTCATGGGCAGTGGCGTACACTCCCTCTCCTCTCTCCCCTTCCTTCCCTCTCTCTGATCTGTGGGCCCCCCCTACACATACATAGACACAAACACATACACACACACAGACACCCCCCCGACAGCCACGTACATACACACACACATACAGACACACACATACACAGGCACACACATACATACACACACACATACACACACATACATAAAGAGACACACATACATACAGAGACACACACACACACATACAGAGACATAGACACAAACACATACAGAGACACACACACGTACAGAGACACACACACACATGTACAGAGACATACAGAGACACAGACACACACACATACAGAGACACAGACACACATACATACAGAGACACACACACATACATACAGAGACACAGACACAAACACATACAGAGACCCACAGATACATACAGAGACACAGACATAAACACATACAGAGACAGACACACACAAAACAGAGAGGCACACACAAAACAGAGAGACACACATATACATACAGAGACACACACACATACACAGACACACACACATACACAAAATGTTTCCTGTTTCCTACCTTTTGTGACTTTCCCTGGGGTCCAGTGGGGGCTCAGTCTGCCCTTCTCCGTCCTGCTTCCTCCTGCGCGGGCTCTGATAGCTGGGAGGAGTGACCGGGGAGTCACTTCCTCCCAGCAGTGATGTCATCATAGGGGGCCCGGTCGCGCTGTTAAAGTGCCCAGTGCTCACCGAGCCCCCTGACAATCCATGTCCATCGGGTGACCCTGACAGCATGGTGTAACGGACCGTTTCAGCACACAAGGGGTTAAAACCGTTTAGGCCAATCCGCTGAACAGGAAACCATACGAATGCTGTAAACAGCCGAATAGGAAAAACCATATGAATAGGTTTACACTCCTAGCAGTTAAACTGGAACAGCATACACTAAATCCCCCCAAGAACGAGACAAGGCTCTGTTTTGAGGGTCAAGCAGTGAACAGCCAGAGCTGTGGGTTTATTGTTCTCATATTCACATTAGTATCACCCACAGGGTTTGGAACACAACCAATAAACACATACAATACACTCAGACACTCCCACACAAAATCCTCCCCTCTGCCTGTGATACAATTACCTTACACAATGGGAAATGCAATTTTTCCACATTATTCATAACTTGAAAAGTATGCATCACATTCACAAAGTAAGCATCACTTACATTTTCAGAATCAGCATACTCCAAATACAAACATATGTCAAAATCATCCAAATTGGTCCAGTGGTTCAAAAGATAGATCGTAGTCCTTTGTGACCAAAGGAAGCATGGTTTTTCTGCCCAAAACCAGTTCCACAGAGTCTTCTATCCTAGAGATAATTGGGAAGTAATCCAATTATCTCCAAAGACAGAGGCAAAACTGTCGGGATCCCGCGGGCGGCTGCGAGGAGGGCTGCACTCCGCTCGCGGTACTCACCCTCCAGCCGTCCGCGGTCCCCTCCTCCTCGTGGGTCCGGCAAGCAGCATCCTTCCAGTCTCGGATGCCGCCCGCCGTTTCCTCCACGTCCCCCAGCGGCAGCATACATGACGCTGCACGCTGGGAGACCGCCCAAGTTTGTACACGCCGGGGTCAGTCACCTGACCTGGCGTTAAAGGCACAGTGCCTCAATCACAGTGGGAGGTCTAGATATCTCCCACGTGTGAGTGTTAATTCTAATTGGAAATTATCCAATCAGAATTAACCTTATGGTTTAAATACTTACCTTTCCTGTTCCTCCCTGCCCTGGTGTGGTCTTTGCTTTCTAGTATTGCTACTTACCTTGTACTTCTGGTTACATACTCTCTGGCTTGTTTATCTGACTCTGTGACTTTCTCCTACCCTTTGACCTCGGCTCGTTTCACGTTATTCTGTCTTCTGGTTCCCCTTACTCGGCTTGTCTCCTGACTATTCTGTGTGTGCTTATTCCGGCCACTCTAAGGTCCGGTACGGCACCTTTTGTGTGTGTGTGTGTGTGCCAGCGTGTTGGGTTCCCCGAATCGTGACATTACAACAGGGCCATAATGGAACCTGCTGACATACCACAGCTCCTAGTTAATCAAGAGGCTTAGACCACCGTATGGATCAGTTTGCTCAAGCTTTGCAAACCATACTGGCTCGTACTGCACACTTGCAACCTGCCGTTCAGGAGGCTGCCCGAACCCATTCCCACTCCAGTACCTGTTCCCGCTCATGTAGTTCACATGACGCCGCCACAGCGCTACAGTGGTGACCCAGCATTGTGTTGTGGTTTCCTCAACCAAATCGACATCCATTTGGTGATGAATCCACGTTCCTATCCCACTGACAGATCTAAAATTGCCTTTTTGATAAACCACTTGTCCGGGAGAGCTTTAGCATGGGCCAACCCCATTTGGGAAAATACGTCTCCTATGTCCTTTGCAGATTTTCTGACAGCTTTCAGACGCACGTTTGATCAACCCGCTAGGGTTGCTTCTGCTGGCAAGGCTCTGCTTAGGGTCCGACAGGGTAACAGATCTGTAGCAGATTACACTATCGAATTCCGTACTCTAGCAGCTGAAGTGGATTTGAATAATGACGCCCTCGTAACAGCCTTTCAGGAGGGTCTGGCCGCTTATATACTGGATGAAATAGCATCCAGGGAATTGCCTGCTCTTCTAGATGATGTTATAGACTATGTGATTCTTATCGATAACCGTATTAGAGAGAGGCGTAGCCAAAGACGGTTGGATACACGGGTGTTACCTGCTCTACCCAGTACTTCACTGCTAGCGTTACCCGCTCCTAGGCAACCATCCCCTGAACCCATGCAGTTGGGTGCTACGGGGTTAACTGAGGCCGAAAGAGCGTACCGTAGAAGGGAGGGGTTATGCCTTTATTGTGGGAAGAGGGGGCATCACTGTAAAGCCTGCCCTAAAGTACAGGGAAACTGCAGCACCTAAGGCCTAGAGAGGGGTCGGCCTCGGGTGTTATGACTTTGTCCCCTCATATGTCCATCTCCAGACCGTTTATTACGGTTTCTCTTTTGGTCAATAAAACCACTATAACAACCAAAGCCCTGATCGATTCGGGTGCGGCAGACAACCTTATGGATGAGACCTTTGCCAAAACCGCAGCCCTGAATTTGATCGAAAGGAGACACCCTTGGCCGTTGAGGCCATAGATGGTAGACCACTGGAGAAACCTCTGGTGACCCATGAAACCCAGGAAATACTTATGTCTGTGGGTGTTTTGCACAAGGAGAAGTTAACCTTCCAAATAATTGACTCCCCTACAGCCTCCATCGTTCTGGGTTTTCCCTGGTTAGTTAAACACAACCCTGTTCTTGATTGGGGTTGTTTAGATATACTCTCCTGGGGGGAATCTTGTCAGCGAGACTGTATGGCTCATGTACGTCCTGTTTGTTTACTTAACGTGCCCACGGCTAAACCACTCTCGGTTTCTGTCCCTTCTGTTTATGCAGACCTTGCCTTGGTTTTTGAAAAGAGGGAGGCAGATAAGCTACCTCCACATCGTGAGTATGATTGTGCCATAAACCTCTTACCGGGTACTATGCCTCCTAGGGGAAAGGTCTACCCTCTTTCTGAAAAAGAGAACCAGATCATGGAGGAGTACATACAGGAATCCCTAAGAAAAGGTTTTATTAGAAGGTCCTCCTCTCCTGCTGGTGCTGGTTTCTTTTTTGTGGCTAAGAAGGAGGGAGATGTGAGGCCATGTATAGACTACAGGGGTCTGAACAATATAACGGTTAAAAACGCCTACCCTATCCCCCTCATCACTGAGTTGTTTGATCGTGTTAAAGGTTCTAAATTCTTCACCAAATTAGACCTCAGGGGGGCTTATAACCGAATGACGAGTGGAAGACAGCGTTCAACACACGCAGTGGGCATTACGAATATCTGGTCATGCCTTTTGGACTGTGTAATGCTCCTGCCGTGTTTCAGGACCTCATAAATGATGTCCTTAGGGATCTATTGCATGTCTGTGCTGTGGTGTACCTTGACGACATACTTGTGTATTCTCCTGATTTGAAGTCACACCATAACCATGTTAGGATGGTGCTCAAAAGGCTATTGCAGAACGGACTCTACTGTAAGTTAGAAAAATGTTTATTCGATCAGACCTCTGTGCAGTTCCTAGGATATATCATTACTGAACAGGGTTTCAGTATGGATCCTGCTAAATTGGAAGCTATACTGTCCTGGCCACTCCCCCAAGGACTGAAGGCTATCCAGCGTTTTATAGGATTTGCCAACTATTATAGGAAATTTATAAAAAACTTTTCACCACTCATCTCTCCTATAACAAAGCTGACAAAAAAAGGTCTACACCCTAGGGTTTGGACTCCTGAAGCCCTTAAGGCCTTCCAAACCCTCAAGAAGGCATTTGCCTCTGCTCCAGTGCTGCACCACCCTGATCCTTCTCTTCCCTTTGTTATGGAAGTAGACGCTTCAGAGTCAGGTGTGGGAGCCGTACTGTCACAGAGGTTGTCGTATGACAAACCCCTCCATCCCTGTTGTTATTTTTCTAAAAGGTTGTCTGATTCAGAGAAGAATTACGATGTTGGGAACAGGGAACTATTAGCTATTGTGTTAGCTTTTAAGGAATGGAGGTACTTATTAGAGGGTTCTAGACACAAAATTATGGTTATAACAGATCATAAGAACCTATCCTATATAGCTGATGCTAGAAGGTTATCTGCCCGGCAGGCTAGATGGTCTCTATTTCTCTCACGCTTCCAATATGTTATTACCTATAGACCTGGTTGCCGTAATGCCAAAGCTGACGCTATCTCTCGGCAGCATGAACCGGTAGAATTTGTTAACCTGACTCCTGAACCTATTGTACCTGTGTCTCAGATAATAGCTGCTACCCGTTTGGTTGTTTCTTCACCTTTCTTTGATAGCATTAAGACATACCAAACCCAGGCACCCCCTGAGACGCCGGTTGGTAAACTATAAGTTGAAACAAATGACAGAAAAAAGTTGTTAACTTTATTTCACACAGCCAAAACTGCTGGTCATCCGGGGGTTACCAAAACCTACAAGGGCCTCCTTCAACAGTTCTGGTGGCCTTCAGTCAAGCGAGACGTAGTAGATTTTGTTCAGGCTTGTCGGGTCTGCACGCAGTGTAAGTCCCTTAATGTGAGACCAAAGGGTTTTCTGATGCCTCTATCTATACCCAAGAAACCATGGACCCACTTATCCATGGATTTCATTGTAGACCTGCCTCTTTCTGATGGTCAGACGGTGATACTGACTGTGACGGATAGGTTCTCTAAAATGACGCACTTTATTCCGCTTAAGAAACTGCCTTCTGCGGTTTAGTTAGCTCAGGTGTTTGCCAAAGAAGAGTTCCGATTGCATGGGGT